CAGAGAAGTCAACTGCTAGGCCCCAGGTATGTGTGCTCTTGTGGGTCAAGAAAAGGGTTTCTGTGATGGAAAAAAACTTTTGCTGATAATGCTGTTGGATTCTTCAGTTATCTTTATTAGAAGATTCGATTGATAGTTAGATGTGATGAATTTCCCATTCAGTGATTTTGACATTTTGTTTGTATTATGGGTGAAGTATACCAGATAGTCTATATTTCTGACTCTGGAGTGAAAGCAAGGAATTTCTTTGATGTGACACTACCCGCTCCTCTTTGTCTCACTTTCTATGTCAGACTTGATCAGATGTTTGGAGAAGGAGCTCACTCTGCAAGTTGAGTTTTCAAATGCAGTAATGATTCCTCTCAATTAAAAGCAGATCTTCAATCTTGTTTTGCTTGCTACTGTGAATTGTGAGAGTCTTTGTTTTTCTAAATGATCAGCCATTTCCTATTGCCTAAAGAAGTAAACTTTATGTAAGCCTCTCCATAAGTCAGATTCTTCTAGTGCAACTCATTTTATGAGAATCACTTTTGGAAACTGCTTGAAGTGTTTTCTGTCTCCCGGATTATTTACCATGAAGTGATTTAATGCACTAAATTGCTAGGGTGGTTTCAGTTACAAAAGAGGGAATGCTCTGGATTCCACAAGAAGTATTGAGAGCCTGGGGTTCTAGTTCCATGAGTAAGTGGTATGTATCAGTTATCTATATAATAATGCTATGTAATAAACTACCAAACCTTAGTAACTTACAAATCACAACCAGAGTTCCACTTCAAGTAGGGAAGTGAGACATGCTATGTAGACCAGCTCTGCAGAAAACTGATGAAAATTATTTTTAAAACAACCATTTAACATCTCTGGAAATGGTCCTAAGGGCATATAACAAATGAAGAAAATTTATTGAAGGAAATCTATTTAAACATGGATATAGCAGCAAGTGTCTAAGGTATTTGAACTGATACCCACTCCATCTTTCTTTCCTCCCCCTCGGTAAAATGGAAACTCCACTCAGGACTGGTGCAGCAAAGGACGCAGGGCTCTTCCCTCCAGCTCCTAGTCCAAGGGCTGTCTTTAAGGGAGGGGCAGGACGTCAGCGTTTCTCATTCTACCCCTAGCTCTTTGTTACGAGGCTGTGTTCTGGGCAAGTGTGGCTGAGAGATGGGGGCTTGCTTCTTCCTCCCAACCCCACCTCAGGGGATGGAGGTTCTACCTTGGTTGCAGTGTCACTGAGTATTACTGGGACCTGATCACCCTTCCATGGATTGTTATCCGCGTGTGATCCACACTAAGAGAGGCAAACTGAGAAGTCTTGAGCTACTTCACCCTCAAGTGTTCAGCTCCTAAAATGGGGTATCACTCTGAGAAAAGTGTCCCATTGTCCCCACTCTCAGCTCCAGAGCTGTGGCTCATAGAATTGCCCTGGAGGTGAAACAGGCCATAAGAGAAAACACCGAGTCTCTCACGAAAGAAACTGATTTCATTTGCAACAGAATGTAGAGAAGTTCAAACCTAAGGGCACTCTCAAAAACAATGGACGTTGTGATGAAAGGCAGTTGGGAAAAGATTGGTATATTAATTGGAGATCTAGACTAAACTACAGGCTGGCTAGTTTTCTGGAGAGAAGCTGAGAAAGCAACACCTAGTGGGAACCTTCCTGGAGAGAGAAAGAACTTAAATATTGACCTAAACAACTTACCTTTCAAGAGAGCCTGGATTCAATTGTATCAGTTTATGGTACAATTTATGCCCTCAGGGAATTGATGGAGCTTACCAGTTGGGTTTGATCAGAGAAAGAGACAGAATGTTCTGCCAAAACCAATGCCATCCCAGGGTGACTAGTGTCATCCCCAAGTCTACACCCCATGAAGAACATCAGAGGCTTCACAATGTGAGGGGAGGCTATAGACTTCACTACAATTATCCAGCCAATCACTAAACAATTAAACAGAGAAATAATATAAGCACATGGTGGGACCAATATCCAGAGTTGCTATAATATATCTAAGATTTCCAATTTCTGACAAAAAAATTGATATATGCAAAGAAACAGAAAAGTATGACCTATACACCAGAACAAAAACAGGCAGCAGAAACTTGAGAGCGACCAGATGTGGCATTTAATAGACAAAAGACTTCAAAGTTACCTTATAAATATGTTCAAAGGACTAAAGGAAACCATGATTAAAGAAGTAAAGGGAGATATGGTGACAATACTATGTCAACTGGAGAATATGAATAAAGAAATCAAAGTCATAAAAAGGAGCCAAGTGGAAATTCTGGAGTTGAAAATTACAATAACTGAAATGAAAAATTCACTAAAGGGTTGACCACTAGATTTGAACTGGCAGAAGAAAGAATCAGTGAACTTGATGATAGGACAATTGAAGTTTCCTAGTTTGGGGAGCAGAAAGGAAAAGGATGAAGAAAAATGAAAGGAAGTTATTTAGGCTGAAAGCAAGAAACTCCAGGCAGTAATTCATATCTGTACCTCTCCCCCCAAAAAAGTACTGGTAAAGGTAATTGTAATTTTAAGAGACAGTATAGATGTATATTTATTTTCCTTTCTTTTTTTTTTTTTCTTTTTTCCCTGGTAACCACAAATCTGTATTCTCTGTCTGTGAGTCTATTTCTGTCCTGTATTTTCCTTTCTTAAGTGACTTAAAAATTGATTGTGTAATGTACTGTTGTGCATATAAGATATGAAAATGTAATATATATACATATATTCCAATAGCAGCACAAAGGGAATGGGTGGAAGCAAAGCTGTATTAAGAAAATGACTCTGGATGGTAAATAGAATCCATGGGAACAAGTGGAGAGAACCATAGATGACAAATAAGGCTAGGTAATATAACAAAATCTATAAATACATGTTTGTTCCTCTCCTTTAAAGTCATAAAGATATACAATTATATAAAGTAATTATTATGGCAATGTATTATTGATTTTGTAGAATTTATAGATTTAATATATATAACCTAAGACCACAAAAAGGGGGTGAGTTGACTTTGTTGATCATGGCTGAGCTCACCTATCTAAGGCCTTAGAAGGAACATCTGGCTGACTTGGCTCAACTCCACGTGATGTCTCATCCTCCAGCAGCCTAGCTTATGCCTGTTGACATGACAGAAGTAGGTATGTCAAGTAAGAGTAAAAGAACGCAAAGTCTCTTGAGGACCAGGCCCATTACTAGTCCTCCATCACTTCCCCATTGTATTCCCCCAGTAAGTAGTAAAGCCAGCCCAGATTTAAGAGGTGGGGGTATAGGCACCATGTCTTGATTAGAGGAGCTGCAAAGTCACATTTTTTTAATGTGGATATAGAGAGAATGGGATAATTGTGGCCACTTCTGCAAACAACGTACTGCACAGTGTTACCGCCATTCATCCTACACTTCCTCGCTCTCTTAGAACCTTTTTCTCTTTTAACGTGGATTAATTTTTAAAAAACATGTATATGTGAATTATGTCTGTGTGTATCCAGGTCTGAGAGATGGAACCAAATGTGAGGAAGTCTATTAAAGTCCAGATTCTTCATTGCTTGTGGGTGGACACAAGGTCATCTCGATCTCCCTTCTTTCTTGCACTCAAGTTCAGTTACACTTACTAGCTTTGATTCAAAACACACCAAGTGCTTTACCACTTTAGAGATTTGCCCATGCCATCTTTCTGGAGGTTCTTACCACTTTTCTATTCTTGTGCCAGTTCTCAGTTTTAACCTTCCTTGGAGGACTGTTCTTGATTATTTCATCTAAGCTACATCTCCTCATTGTACCTTAAAGTAATGTATTTGTAATGTACATTTTTAATGTAGTGTTCTCAATTGAGGAGGATGATTTTGCCTTCTAGGGGGCATTTGATAGAGGCCAGCGACATTGCTAAATATCCTACCATGCCAGGAACAGCCCTGATGCCCCCAAACAGTTAGCCAGTCCAAAATGTCAGTAGTGCTGAGGCTGATAAAAATCCTGGATTACCTTGAACAGTTAGTAGAAAAATGCCTGTTAAAAGTGCTCTTGGTGAGGGCTCAAAGTGTAGTGAGGAGCATAGTAAAGAAAGCCTGTATTGTCTTAAAGAATACTTAAGTTATCCCAGGCAGACTATCGATAGAAATATGAGCATCAAAGGTGTTGCTGGTGAAGGTTTACAAGGAAGTTTGGAACATGATATTGGAAATTGGAGGACAGGGGATTCTTGTCACACAGTCACAGAAATCTCAGCTGAATTGTGTCCTATAGTTATGTGGAAAACAGAACTTGTAAGCAATGAATTGAAAATTGAGCTGAGCAGATTTCCAAGGGACGTGTTGAAGGCACGCCCTTGTTTCTTCTTGCTACTACTGGTAAAAATGCCAGAGGAAAGACATAAATTGAGGGAAGAACCATTAAGCAAAAAGGAACCAGGACTTGAACATATGAGAAATTAGCTGTCTATCCAGATTGCGAGAGACATTAAAATTAGAGGATCGACTGTCAGGAAAGTGTCCTGTAGAGATAAAATCAAGGATGTAGGTAGACATTCTTTTGCTAGTACCTCTGAGGGATCCAACATGAGAGTATTCAGAGGGCTCCTTGGAGCAAAATCAGCTGTGAATCATGGATGACACCAGCCATCTCAGCAGAAGCAAGAACAGAGATGGGATTTCCCAGAAGGGATCTCTGAACCAGCCTCTTTGTCTAAGGGCCTGAATCCCCAAGACATACATGAGAGACTACAAGATTTTCGAGTATGTTGAATTAGCATTAACAATGCCATCCCTAGAAAATGAAATGAAAGAAGGCTGTGGGACTCCCAAAATTTGGCAAACAGAAAACAGGCTGATAAAACTATTCAGTTGCTAACATGTGCTCCATTCAGAATAAAGGCAAGATGATTCCGAAGGCGGAGCCTAGCGACTAGAGGGCAGAGCTGCTGAGGACCTATCATGAGATCAGAGGGAGGAGCCTCAAACCACAAAGGATTATTCCCAGACCTGGAAACCTATGGAGATGTGCCTGCTTGGATCAGGGTCCTTCCTTCCTCCTTTCTCTTTTGGAAGGGAAATAGCTGTAACTCTTATCAGCTGTTGATGAACCCAAAACAAAGTGGAAGCACAAAATTAGTGGGGAGGAAAATTAAAATGAGAAAACAATAGAAAGAAACATCTCTTGGTGCTTTGGCCTAGGACAGCCAAGAAAAGACACGTCTGGGCTTAAACTGGGTACCGCGTACACTTTTCCCTCTCTCTACCTTATTTCCCTCATTCTGAGAGATTAATTATGGAGCAACTCATTGTAACTTCTGAAATAATCAGAAGATACTTTTCAAACTGTGTAAAATCAAGACACTCCTAAGAGACATAATAGGAACATGAGTTAAAAGATTCTACTTACTCAGTGAGGGAATGGGAAAATAATATAACTGGTTCAAAAGAGAATCCAAACATTCAATACAGGAATATTGATCAAGAATATTTCAATGAATGTGTACGTGGAAGCAAAACTGGTTTTGTTACATCCTGAGAGGGGAACAATTCAATCTCTACTAGACAGGCTGTTGCATAGGTTTGTCAGTAACCTGCAACTAACAAAAGGTTGTAAAAGACCTCAAAGACAATGTAAGACTAGAATCAGATAATGTGGTGTGATGTCCTAAAGACAGGGAAAAGTTTCCATGGAAACATGCATTTATTTCTACAGTGTTAAAGTCAAGCAGAAAATTACCTCCCTCAATATCAGGGTCCAGTCAGAGTGACCAGGTACCGGTCATGGACGTGCGTTGGCTGAGGCCTGATTAAGGCACAATTGAAACCCGTGACATCCCAAAGTCTAGGATGTCACAGAGGCAGCTTGCTGACCAATGAGGGGCTGAGCTTGGGGATATAATGAGCAGGGCCCAGTGCAGGTGTCTTGAGAACCCAGTGCTGCAGGGAAGTCAAGCAGAGCTGATTGAAGCCAAAGCCAACAAACATCATGTCTGAGCAACAAAGCCACTCCTGTCAGACCCCTGCCGATCTTGGAACAACCGAGCTCCAGTTCCCTGTGAGCTACGTGGACTGCCTTCTGCAGGAGGATCAGTATGTCCATACTCTGAGTTCATCCACAACAGATTTTCTCTTCTCCACGCTTGACTACCTGACCGACTACATCCTTGATCTGGTACGCACCGAGGCCAACACTGGCGGCATGCAGACCACCTCACAAGATGTGGAGGGAGCAGTTGACAACAACGCAGAGCCCCATCGCCAAGTGAAGGATACAGCCTATGCTCTGTTTGATGAGATGCCTGGATCCAGAAGGAACGGCTGAAGCCTGGGTCCCAGAGCCTGACAGGAGTCTTCACAGCCTCAGCCTTAGCCGCAGCCCCAGCCAACACTTCTCAGCTGAGGATCCTTGACTTCTGTCATCAGCAAATAGTATTAAAGGATTTAAATCCTTGGCTCTGATTCTGACTCCTCTCTGCTTCTCATTCTCAGTTGAGGCGCCTGTAGGACATCCAGGAGGGGCTGTGGGGGTTGGGGGTGGAAGGTGTGGTCAGGGTGGGATGCTGGAATCCATGATTTCAGGGAGCGGTTTCCAATGGTGACGGTGCGGGGAGTGGTCCTGGTGGGAGGAGCTGGCCAAGGTTGTTGAGGAAGAGGACTTCCACACTGGCTCTGAGGGGGTCCAGGCTTGTGAGGCTGGGAGGTGGGCGGGGATTCCTAGGCACATTGAATTTCCCAGAGTGATGGTGGTAACGGGGGAGGGGCTGAAAACCGTGACCCGCCGAGGTGCTGAAGGCTTTATTCATGATGGGGACCCTCTAGAAGTGGGAGGTGATGACAACTGGGGGGTGGGTGCAGGGGATGATGGAGCAGTTGTCGTGAACCTGGTGGGACAGGGCTTGTACATGAAGATGGAGGAGTGATGGGGAAACCATGATGAAATACACAGAAAAGAAATTACAGTCTGGTTCATTTCATTTACTTATATTATGCCTCACTCCAAAGAAAGAATTGAGACAGGTAATATTAGTGCTGTATTTTCTCTGGAACATATCCTTCTGTCCGCTTGGGGACACTAGTAACTTAGGTTGGGCCAGGTTCTCACATGATTGCTGGATGCCTAGTCCTCTGGCTGTGCGAACCACGGCCTGCTGAACCTTGTGGGGAGACAGAGGGTGCCATGCAGGGGGAGAAGCTGTTGCCGAGTCCAAACTCATTCTGCTCGCTGCACGACAGGCCAATAAATCAGGAGATGAGGTGTTGGGGCAAGGAATAGCGACTTTATTCGGAAAGCCAGCAGACCAAGAGGATGGCAGACTAATGTCTTGGAGAACCATCCTCCTCTAGTCAGAATACAGGCTCCTTTTATACAAAAAACAAGGGAAAGGGTGTGGTTGGTTGTTGTAATCTTCTTACTGCAGGCATTCTTTGCTTTTTCAGCCATCCACGTGGGCCAGGTCATGGTGTCCCTGTAAACCTCCAACAAAACAAAGGTTATTCTCTACTACAATTCCCCACTGTCAATATCCATTCCACGGTCTTGTGGGAAAAGAGGTGATGACTGCTCTGGCTACTTCCTGCTGAAAAGGGGCGATGAGGGGGTGATTATGGAATGGAATTGATCAGCCTTGGTCAGGGAACATTCCTGGACATCTTTAGTCAGTAGTATAATCTCTCTCTTTCCTTTTTTTTTCTCTCTCTTTATTTACAACTGTTTGATCCTGATAAAACTCCTTGGTATTTTGTTGAACTTGGAGTTTTGGTTCCAGTTCTCAATACATATCTTTAATGTTAATTTTTTCCACTGTACCAGAATTACACTAGATTCTTGTGCTATTTAGTTCATCAGAAGACTTAGAATGGTGTCATGATGCCTCCAGGTGACTAGTCCTATAGACACTAGCGTTTGTCACTCTTTCCATCTCTTTATCTTATAAGCACCGAAGGTGTGGTCTTCTTGGTAATTCAGGCTATTTTCTAAGGTTAAAGTCCTGGGGCCTTCTCCCTGGAGATTGACTCAGAGACCAAGCATGATTCTAGCTTTCAATTACTGGAATAAAGTAGAAACAGTAAGATCAATAGCTTTAGTTTTAACAGTGGGCCTGGAACTGTGAGTAGCAACTGGTCAGTCAGGTCAGTTGGAAGGAATAAGCAATCTGTTAGCCTAAGTGCAGCCATTTTATTAATCCTCCTTCAAAATCCCCACTGTCAGTTTCTGTCATTCCACTTCTATGGAAATAGGGAAGATGGGCGTCGTGTTCTTGCTGAATGAGGGTGTCGTTTGGGGGCCCTTGAAATGGAATGAGTGAACTTGATCTTGCTGTGTGGCTGGGGTTCAGAAAGAGCCTTAGGTGCTCGTTTCCCGCACATTACACAATGGAGAACAGTCTAAATATTAGATACATATCAACTCCTGTTAACAGAAATGATAACAGAAATTGTAGAATTCCCATAAGAATGGTTTTGAGACCTTGGGGTATCCATGAAAAGAGGCCAGAAAAACAGGTGTTAACTTAGGTTGATATAACTTTTTGCACATATGCATCTGAATCCCCTGCATTATGTATTTGTTGTTTTATGTCCTCCAGGGCAGTTATGATGTTTCTGGATTTATCTGGTAGGAAAGTACAACAGGCAGTATGAATCCAGAAACTCAACAACTACAAGAGGAGAACTTAAACCCGTAAGGTTGTAGCTGCAAGTTGCCAGCAGACACTGCTTTGAGAATGGATGGTAGCATTCTAATTTTGACAGCGCTCAGAAAACTCAAGTTCTCAGCAATACAGAAGCTTGTCTGAAATCACATCTACATTGGTTACCTAGTTTTACCTTGGGTGTCTGAACTACAGTTATTCCAGCTTGATTTTCAAATGCATTTCTCTCCTTAATGGCCAAAGCAGATGTAATTACCATTAATTATTTTAGTGCTTTCTTAGATATGAGGAGATGCAAGAATTTGGGCTCATAAAATCTTTTCCTGAAAATGTCTAACTATCTGAAGACCTGTTCAGCCAGTTTTCCCAGAGCACAGAGTGCCTCATTCCTGGTCTCCACCCTGTCTCCTTTCAGGGTGTGTTGGAGGTCAGTGGCTGCAGTGACTCATGATTTAATCCAAGCAGAGGTAGATGGCAAGTGCCAGCGTGATCCAGTCCTTGTAGAGGCAGATGGCGAGTGCCCTTATGATCAGAAATTTGACCATGGTTTGGCATGACCATTTTGTCCCACGGTGCTAGGAATGCTTATTCCTAGGTCAGGCGAGGATTTTATTGACAGACCACTCAAAGTGCTCTTATGGGACTAGGCCTTATTAACAGGAGCAAAAATGTCTCTGGACCACCTGTCTTACTAGCCTGTTATGATCCAGGAAAATGTTCCCTCTTGTTGCTTTTTCCATATCTAGACTTGCACTATTACAGTCATTGGTCTCATACAGAAGTATATATCTGGCCTACTGTTTCAAGTTGCCTAGTCATTATTTTATCAGAGGCTCAGTCACATATTTGGTAATGTAAGAAGCAACATTTTGTAAAACAGGCAAAATACAAATAATATAGTAAGAAAGAATAAATAAATAAATAAATAAGAATTTAAGCCAAGAACTTTCATTAGGTGTGGCTCAAAGTATCCCCAGGTCATCTGACTTAATCTGTTCTGTACCAATCCTTATCTTTAAGGAAAATGTTATACAGGCATTGTTCATAAGCAACGGTATGAGCAATTATCAAAGTCATTGGTATACAGGCCTGGCCTGGTGTCTTGGGTCAGCTGTCTACCTCAGATGTCATCGTCTTCTCATCCTGGCCTGGTAGCTTCTTCTCTATTTGAGCACTGTTTTAAGGTGAGCAGTCCTCTATAGGCCAGTCCAGTGCAGGGGCTCTTTCTGACTGGAAATTAATCCAAAAGTCAATTTTCTTTAGCTTTTGCTGTGCATGGTCTAGTTAAGAGTACCTGATAAAAGGTCCTTCCATTCAGGCTGAAGATAGTTTTTAAATCATGTCTGTTACAGTATGTATAATCCCCTGGTTGCAGGTGATGGGGCATCTGATCTTCATCCAAGGATAGATTACTGAGAAAGGGATAGTTTACCAAACTGCTGTAAGTCATAATTAGCTTGAGAAGAAGGACTTCTTTATATCTGGAGAACACAGATTCAAAGCCAGTAAAAAATGAAAGTTGTAACCATATTCATCAGATTACTCAGTCCCATGTAACAAATCTTTGTTTTTTGTTAACAGTTTTATGAAATCAGAGTTTTCATCAGACTTTTAAAATTTCTTACCCAATTTAGTTCAGTGCTACAGTTTGAAATTTATCAGAAACCAGCAAATCTCCTTGAAGAGAAAGCATTTTGCAAAAGCATCAGAATAAAACAATAACTGTCTATAAATGACAAAAGACTTAAAAGCATGGTTAAACACTTAGTTACACTGTAGTCGATAAGGAAACCTGGTTACAATAACCATAATTATGACTGACAACATTTCAGACATACCATATTTTTAGGGATTCCATGTAATTTCTAGAATATCCATATTAATAGTATTTTTTCATACAGTATAACCTAGGAAGATTTATTATTCATTTGACAGTACTTCCCATGTCATATAACGTACCAAATGAAACTTACTAGTTTAAAATCTCTCTTTGGTATGTTTCAGGGACCCTCTGAAGCATCCCAGATTTAGCTGGAGGTCAAAAGAATTCTGATTAAAATTTGGTATTTGGGAAGCTTGTTAAAAATTTCCAAACACTTGGTCAGATAAAAGTATAGGTTACTGTGAAACAGTACTTATTCATAAACAATAAAAATATTTCAAGGGTAAATACAGAACAGATCACTTAAGGGATAAAAGAAATTTTACAATCTGTTACTAAAAGCAGATTAACATTTTAAGAAAACTTCATTCTCTCAACAGAGACAAAGAGAACCAAATCTAGTCTTGTACCAGCTTACTTTTAAGATTTATTTAATCAACTACATTTATTTTAAACTTAGCCAATCCAGACCATGTACAAAACTCTTTTCTTAGGGTTCCTCTTTCACAAACCTTCCACAACTTTCTGTATCCATCTTATTTTGTCCCTTATTTTCTTTTCCATTCAGAAGCAACCAGCTTTAGGAAAAAAGTCACTGTTTTTCATTCTTAACAAAATATAATTCCATTTCTTATACATTCTTTTACTGAAAACATTCATCTTACTTTCCTAGCATACTGAAATGTTTCCCTTAGTAGTAGGGAATATTTCAGGGTGGCACCAAACATACATTAATATTTCTAAATGTCTTTAGTTTCTCTGTAAGAGGAAGTCAGTATTCAGCAATTAATGTTTATCTTACTTTATCTGAAAATGACCTAGCTATTTAATAAACGTTCATCATTTAACTTAATTTAGCACAATTCTAAAACTTTTAAGTTTCCAAACATATGGGGCGATCATTTGAACAGACATTCCTGAAATAATCATTCCGAAAGAGTTTACCCAAAGGCTCTTTCTCACTTGCAAGAATATTATATCAAGTTATTTTTCTTGCTGACAAATTTGTAACAGATATGACAAGGTCTTATTGGACTTCTATTAAACCTAAATACAATAGAAGTATTATGCTTACCATTAATGAATCTAAAGACATGTCTATATTAATCAAAC